GATCGTTTTTTCTTGGTTTCCCAGGGTCTCATGTACATATTTACTTAATTCTTCGAACTTTTTGTTATTCTTCTCATCCATTTCTATAAGGGTGTTTATTACATATTTTTTAAGGGATTCTATTGCTTTCATAAAGTCAATTTTTTCCACTTCTTCTGTGTTAGGGTGTTCAAATCTTTCTGTTGTAAGATCTTTGGGATCTGGTGTTTTCATGTTGTTTTTCTGATTAATGGGTGATGTTCTGCCTTGGCGCCTGCCCATCTCCTCCTTTCAATGCTATCTAATTGGTCTTTTAAAATCAGATCAGGTTTCTCTGCTGGCCAGAGGCTTCTCTTACTAATTGCCCTCGCTCTGTTTCCTGGCTCCTGCTGGGGGCCAAGAACCCTCTCACCCCTAAGAAGGGTTTTCCGGAACCGGTCCCGGCTCCCCGTTTGCCAGGGCCCTCGCCAACCAAAGGCCTACCTCTTTGATTTAATTGTAGTGGGGCGATCTGCTCTCGGTGTTGCCGCTGGTCCCTGCTGCCTGCGACCTCTGCCGCTGCGCAGGTCCCCTCCAGTCTAGGCCGCCGCCGTCGTTTCCTGCCTGCACCTCCCAGCTCCGTCTGCCGGCGCGGGTGCCTCCCAGCTCCGTCTGCCGGCGCGGGCGCCTCCCCTGGTATGGACTTTTGAAACCCTCACCTGACACACTTCCTCCAACAAGGCCACACCTCCTAATCCTTCTAATCCTATCAAAGAGTTTCACAGCTTGACTAAGCATTCAAATATATGAGCCTGTGGGGCCTTTCTTATCCAACCCACCATAAGCAGCGAGCATTCTCAACAGTTGAACCCTCTCTCCAGCCTGCCCCCATTTCATAATTATATTATTCTCCTTGTTGAATTGTAAGAATGACTTGTGTAAGCCAGGCTTTGGTGACGCACGCCTTTAATCCCAGCACTCGGGAGGCAGAGACAGGCGGATCTCTGAGTTCGAGACCAGCCTGGTCTACAGAGCTAGTTCCAGGACAGGCTCCAAAGCCACAGAGAAACCCTGTCTTGAAAAACCAAAAAAAGAAAAGAATGACTTGTGTATCTGGACACTGAACTCAGATACATGTTCCACAAGTATTTTCTCTCCTTCTGGAGTCTGACGTCTCAACTTTTGGCTTCTAACTTCTTACATTGTGGGTCAGAGACCCATGTGGGTTTACGTCATGAAATGCGGGGATCTCGAAAAGTGTGGCAACAGTATTCTGAACCCTCAATGAGCAAAATTTCATTCAATATCCAAGGATGAAATGAATCAAGTTATTTCTGGTCACGTTTGCCTCTCCCACTCCCCTGGGGCCTTGGTTCTGAACACAGAGCACGTGCACTTGGCATTGTACATGCCGACCTGCCGTGAACACCAACAAAATACCGCCTCAGACACTCTGCTTAGACTCCAGGCTGCTGGTGTCATGAACCCCAGTGCTCTACTGTGCACACGTCTTCTGCTCTTATAGTGGTTCTATTGCCAGAAACGAAGACTTAATATTTTCTTCAGTGTGTAAGTACCAAATCAGCTTATCTTTCTATCATATTGTGTTCCAATGATTAACTTTAAAATTGCTGTTGGAGAGGTCTGGAGAGATGGCTTAGTGGTTAAGAGAACTTCTGATCTTCAGCGGACTCCAGTTTGGTTCCCAGCACTCGCATGGTAGCTTACAGTTGCCTGCAACTCCGCTTTCAGGGCCTCTGACCTCCTCTTCTGGTCTCCACAAGCACCAGGCACACATGCGATGCACTTACATGCAAGCAAACCTCATTACCATCAGTTAAAATAAATAAAAATTTAAAAATTGCTGTTTGAGTTGCTGACTTGAGTTTCATCTAAAAGCAAAAAAAAAAAAATCAGTAAGTGAATTTTGTTTGGGGATTAGGACACACTTCCAACAGTTTCTGAAGCAAGCATGCTTCTGATATTTGTGCTATATATTTGTGTCAGCAGTTTCAGTATTAATGGTTATAAAATCAATATATTGGTTAACTATGAAAAACAGTGAGGATGCTCTGTGTCTTTCATTATCAACTATTCAGCCAGAGCTCAATTCCAGTTCGTTTAAGATAGAGTCTCTCTGAGTAGCTCTAGCTGTCCTGGAACTCACTGTTTAGACCATGCTGGTCTCCACTTCTGAGATCCACCTGCCTCTGTCTCTGAAGTGCTGGGATTAAAGGCGTGCACCACTACAGATAGGGTCTTACTATGTAGCTCTAGCTAGACTGGAACTCAGTATGTAGACCAGCCTGGCCTCAAACTTACAGAAATCTGACTGTTTTTGCCTCCTGAGTGCTGGGTTTAGAGCATGATCCACTATGCCCAGATTAAAATGTAATTCTCTATGGAAATATAACCAAGTACCTCTATTTTATAATTTTGTAAAATTAATTTCTCCTTTAATAAATAGTCAAATTTGTGCCAAAGAACTGTCTTATAATAAACTTCTTTATGATTTATTATCAGTAAATATTTGATTTGTACACATACTTCATGCACCCATATAGCCAAGGTCTCGTGAGCATTTCTACCTGAGAAGGGCGCCATGTGGGCACAGCTGGAGAAGCCTGCGGTAGACCATCATTTTCAGGTCTCTCCACTCTGTGCGCCGCCCTTTCATATCCTTGATTTTGTCCTTTGAGACATAAAATGTTTCTTGTTTCTTGAACAACGTTTTGATTCGCGGATTTCCGTCACCATTTTCCTTGGCCAGGAGACAGCTGCTGCAACCCCTTAAGCATGGGTGCCATTAAGAAGCTGGTTGAAAAGGAACTTCCTGGGATTTACGTCCTGTCTCTCGAGATTGGGAAGAACATGATGGAGGTAAGATGGCAGCTCGTTCCCTGGGAGGCTTGCTGCCGGGCTTGATAAAGTGTGCTATTTGAACACTTCACTTTGCATTTGTAGCAGCAAGCCATAGCCCCACTGGTTCAGTTTCATTTTGTTTGGGGATGGAGGGTTTTGCATGTAGCCTAGGCTGGACTGGAACATGATCTTCCTGCCTCATCCTCCCAGGTGCTTCCCTGCAGGGTTGTTCCTGGATGCTCAGCTGACCCTTGAACTCCAGTGGTCAGATGAGGGCATGGATCTGGGTCAGCCCCTGCCTTAGAGAAGATGCTGTCTGCATACCGTTCCTTCCTTTTACCTCCCTGCTCCTTTTTTAGGATGTGGAGAACAGTTTCTTCTTGAATGTCAATTCCCAAGTGAAGATAGTGTGCCAGATTCTGGAAAAGGATCCGAAGTTGCAGCAGGGGTACAATGCCATGGGCTTCTCCCAGGGAGGCCAGTTTCTGTAAGTACCCTCCTGTGCCGTGCCATTCCTGACAGGGAACTGATGTTTCTGCTCAGCTCAATTGGCTGCACTTATTTGGGGGTCCCCCTGTCTCACAGAAAGAAGTCAGTCTTAAATTGTCACTGTGTAAGCAGCTGTGTGGAACTTAGTTTCTCTTCTTTCTCTGTGTGTGCACATATGTGAGCATGTGTGTGGAGGTCAAAGGTCAATGTGCAGTGTGTTCCTCAATTACTCTCAACCTTACATTTTTAGAGAAAAAAATTGTTAAGGATTTTATTTTGGTAATAATTATGTGTGTGCGGGGTATGTGAACATGTGACTGCAGTGCCCTTAGTGGCCAGAAGGGGCATCCAATCACCTCCAGCTGGAGTTAGACATTATTGTGAGCCACCCAGTGTAGGTGGTGGGAGCTAAGCCTGGGTCCTTTGCAAGAGCAGCAAGCGCTCCACCACTGAGCCATCTCTCCAATCCTCTATTTTTTTTTTAAACAAAGGAAAACTTTAAATTGTAATGATTTATTACAAAGCACTTGCAAAAACATGAACCCAAATTACAGAGAAATCCTTTCCAAGATCATTAAACATGGACCACACAAAGCAAACATTTGGAACTTGTGATTGAGTATATTAAAAATAAAAATTTTCTGCATAGCAGGAAATAAAAAAAAACAACAAAAATTAAAAAAATTTAAAAGCACTGGAAACAAGTTAACCACAAGTAAGAGGACAAATACAAAATGTAAATGGACCTTCCATGGATAGCTTCCCCTAATCCAGTGTGCAGACCCTGCTAGGTTCCAAACTCACCATCCCTTCTAGCCCCGAGCCCCAAACACCCCTCTGCATGCATATAGACTTCATGCCCCTTCTTCTGAATTACCAGGTAAAGTGCCAAATTTGGCAGAATTCAATTTGCCTTATTTTCCAATCTATAATAAGATAATAAGCAGGCAAAATGACAACCACGTTTCCATTTTGAGTTTTTGACTGTAAGCCCCAGAAGGCCAGAGTCCCTGCAGTTCTGTGCGGTTTTGCAAGCATGTTTAACTTTGATGAGGTCTCAGATGGCTCCTTCGGTTCCTCTCTCAGATGCCCCATTTCTAGTCCTCAAATCCTTTGTTAAAAACCAACAGACTCTATTGGGAGTCCCACGTTCCCACCAGTGGAGGCCTGAGCTTGCTTGGACCAATCCTCTGTTTTAACTCAAAAATGTCAAAACTACATTTACTTTGTGTGGGTGTGCCTGTGTTTGTGTATGTGTATGCGCACAGCTGCCCACAAATGTATGCATGCCTTGGTGCCGTGTGCGTAGGTCAACAGACAACTCTAAGGAATGTATTCTCCCCTTCCAACACGTGGGGCCCGGGAACCAAGTCTGGTCATTAGGCATGGTTAGTGAGTGTTTAACCCGTCTCCCTGGACAACATTGCTGCTGCTGCTGTTGTTGTTGTTGGGGTCTCTCTGTGAACCTGGAGCTCAGGAGTGAGCTAGCCTGGCTGATTGACAAGCCTCAGGGACCCTTTGTCTCTACCTCCCCAGTGCTGATATTCCCGGAACTGCTGTACCAGGCATGCAGTCCAGACGCAGGTCCTTATGGCTTCACTGAGCCATCTTCTCAGCCCCTCTTGCTGTGTTTTCTGTGAAGTAAGATTTATATACAGCCAGGAGGAAAACCCGGGACCTCTATGGTTTGGGGACCCATGGTGTAGTAAATAGCTTAATCTGTAAAGGGACTGTTGCTAATTCCAGTCTGACCATCAGAGCTGACAGCCACCTTTGACTTCGGCAGGAGGGCAGTGGCCCAGAGATGCCCGTCGCCTCCCATGATCAACCTGATCTCAGTTGGGGGACAACATCAAGGTAATGTTCCCCCCTTGTCCCCATGGTTCTTCTCCTCTTTTCAAACCTGTATTTGGCTGATGTTTTGTGTTTCTTTTTTCTTTCAGTTTTTCCCTTCCTTCTTGTCTGTCTCTCTTTCTTTTCCCTCCTCTTCCTCCCCCTTCTTTTTAGATAAGGTCTTGTTTGGTAGCCTAGGCTACGCTTAAACTCTTAGCAGTTCTTCTTCAGCCGCCTGGGTGATGAGATCATAGGCAGGCAATACCACACCGTGTGTGTGTGTGTGTGTGTGTGTGTGTGTGTGTGTGTGTGTGAGAGAGAGAGAGAGAGAGAGAGAGAAAGAGAGAGAGAGAGAGAGAGAGAGAGAGAGAGAGAGAGAGAGAGAGCAGCTGAGTCCATTTAGTGCTGCTCAGCTCATATGTGTATGATCACTTGGACTGGGTGACCCGCCAGGGACTCATCCTGAAGACTGCTTCTCCTTCCCTCTGCCATCCTTAACTGCTTCTGGTTCTTCCTCTAGGGGTGGGGCCCTGTGTGGTTTCTCCCACCTGTGCTGGCACGTCAACTAGTGTTGTCATTACGCAAGTCTTGTGTAGGTGACCATATTGCTGAGATTCCATGGGTGTAACATCCCTGTCATATACAGATGACACTCTAAACAGCAGCCGTGCTGGCCCTCTGGCCCTTACGCTCTCTCTGCCCCCTTCTTCCCTGTGCCCTGGATGTGTAGGGCTGGAGATGTGTCCGTTGCAGTTGGGCACCTCGCAATCAATTGTTCTCTGCATTTTGACCAATAGAAATGGAGATTGCTACAGAAAGAAGTCCCTGTGATGAAGGGTGAGCGCTGCCCTTACCAAGAGAAGCAGATGCTAAAGTCTCATCTCCAGAACAGGGCCTGGGCATGCAGAGATGGCCTAGATCTAGGCGCAAACGTGTGTGTGCCCGTGTGTGTGTGTGTGCATGTGTGTGTGCATGTATGTGTGCATGTGTGTGTGTGTTCACATGTAAGGCAAGAACTCTACCTCAGGGCTGTACCCCAGCATACATTTGGCCTTCTGAATCCATGCATGAGTTCCCTGTCTGTTGATGCAAAGATCCACGGATGAGAACTCTTCTGGGAAAGGCCATGGTGGTTGTGTGTGCCTAGAATCCCAGCATTTAGGGAGTGGGGGCAGGAGAATCATCCTCAGAGAGCTTGAGTTCAGCCTGGGCTCTATTAGACTCTGCCTGTCTTCAGAGAGAGGGACAGGAGTGGGGAGGGAGGATATGGGAACTATCGCATCTGCACTGAACACGTAGAGACTTTGCTCACTCCCCAAACAATACGGTGTAATGACAATCCAGGAAGTGCTTACACCGTCTTAGGTGTCAGAAGTAATCTACACAGGGATTTAAAGGAAGGGGAGGTGCATGGATGAAAGTATGACCTGGGAGGGGGGTGGGGACAGGGAGTCAGGTGATTCCCAAGAAAGAGGATGAGGCAGTCATGTGCCACATGTGGGTGGGGCTGAGGCAGAGGTCCCTGGGGGAGTGCCAAGAGGAAGTTGGTGGTGGTGTTAGTTCTCAGCACTTGGGCTTTTTTTTTGTAAACGAATTCAGATTCAAGCTCTTTGTCATTTTGTTTTTGTTTTCACGGTGCCTGGTACAGTGGGCTTTCAGTACATGATTACTGGAGTAATGCATGGTTATCTTTTACCTACACAGGTGTCTTTGGCTTCCCTCGATGCCCAGGAGAGAGTTCGCACATCTGTGACTTCATCAGGAAAACGATTAATGCTGGTGCTTACTCCAAAGTTGTCCAAGAACGGTGAGCGCGGCTAGCTGTCCAGTCCAGACTGGGGGAGTGCCTTGCTGGCATTCACACTCAGGGACCCTAGGAGTAATGCTAATGATGTCACAACTGCATAACTCTAGTCTCAGGGGATCTCGTGCCCTCTTACGGCCTCTGGGGGCACAGACATGCGTGCTGGTAAAACACCCACATACATAAAAATATAAATCTAAAAAAAAATGTTCTTAAAACATGAGACCTGATGTGATGACGCACGCCTTTAACCCAGCACTCGGGAGGCAGAGGCAGGCGGATCTCTGTGAGTTTGAGGCCAGCCTGGTCTACAAAGCCAGTTCCAGGCCAGTAAGAGTGACAGACACAGTGAGACTTTGTCTTAAAAAAGTAAAAATAATAGAAAAATAAAATAAAAGATAATAAAGGACTTAAAAGGGATAAAATTCACAGGGCCAAGAGAACAAGAGAGGAAATAAGAACCAGTCCAGGTTTTTGAGAGAGCGAACAGGAGGGTGTAAGGACCGTGGGGGAGCAGGAGGAAGACTGTAGGCTTTACCTCTGCAGAAGGCACACTGCCGTGGCCCGTGCTCAAGCCCCAGGAAGGCTTGGGAACTGGGAGTGTATAGTACATGTGTGAGGCCCAAACCAGGGCCTTTTCATTGAAAACCTAAGGCAGGAGCCGTCTGACTCCCCAGTTCTCTGACGTGCACATCCAGGGAACTACTCTTTCTCCACCGTAGCAGGAGAAGCAGAATCTACTCCCTGCAGCGTAACCGGGAGACCCAGACTCGGAGCTAACCTTGTTACCTACTACGAGGCAGGGTTTGCGGGGTCTCTCCCTGGAGGAAATGACTAACAAAGGCTCCTCCTAACTACTGGGTGCTGATGTCTCCAGATCATGAGCTCCAGCTGAGCTCTGCCCGCAGAGGAAGGGCTTCCAGTCAGCCTCCCTCTCCTCCCCATGGTAGGAGTTGGTCATAGAGGAGCACCTTGTGAGGTAGGCAGTCTACCACTGAGCCACATTCCTGGTCAGAAAAAAGAAATGCCAAAATTGTCTTCAGAGAGAGGAAGATGCTATTGCATCTGTTCCTCCAAGACAGATCACAAATAAAAGCAACCATCAGAATGAACACTTTCAGAAACTGAAAATATCACAACCAATTTTTTTTAATTGTTAGTTATGTGGGAATCTAAAGTTGGGGAATCTTCTAGAAGTTAAAACAAAGATTCAAAGAGGTTGTGGTGGCTTGAATGAAAATGGCTCCCATAGACTCATATTTGCATAAGTAGTCCCCCCTTGGTAAATTGTTTGGGAAGGGTTAGGAGATTGGCCTTGTTAGAGTAAGTGTGGCCTTATTACAGGAAGTATGTCATTGGGGGTGGGCTTTGAGGTTTCAAAAAGCCCACACCAGGCCCAGTGTCTCTCTCTCTGCTCCTGTGAATCAGGACACCGAGCTCTCAGCTACTGCTCCCACTCCATCCCCATCTTCCCACCATGGTGATAACGGACTGATCCTCTGAAACTGTAAGCCAACCCCCAGTTAAATGCTTTCCTTTACAAGAGTTGCCTTGGTCATGGTGTCTCTTCACAGCACTAGTACCGTAACTAAAACAAAGGTAGGAAAGAGAACAGAGAGAAGCAGTTAGAATGTCTGGTGTGACTAACGGAACTTTCCAAGCAGAGGAAGGGTGAATTGGAATTAAAGAAGTAATACAAGAAAATGTCCAAGCCGTTACATGCATGAGCTTCCATACTAAACAGGCTTGCTAAACACCCGGTCAAGAGCAGAAGGAAAACAAAGCCACCCTGCAGCGCTTTCCTGTGAAACTCACAGCACCAGGCATAGAGAACAGATCCCAACCAGAATGCAGCTGAAGAGTTCAATCCTGGGGCAGCATACCCAGAAGGCAGTGGTGCGGAGCTTGTCTGCTCGAGTCCTGTGTGCCTGTACCGAGGAGCAACCCAGTAAGAGGGGAAATGAAGTAAAATAAAGGGAAAGGAGATGGCTTCTCAGGTTCTCCTCTGGGGGTCGCTGGAGAGCCCTCATTCTGTCAACAGCTGGCAGTGTGGCCCTGGGCACTCTGAACCTCTGCTGTGAGATCAGTAGCGTGCACTCATAAAGAGGCATTTTTAGGGATAAGCAAGCTGAGTATAAGCTATTCAGTGCAGCCTGCGTTCCCACTGCAGAAAGGTTTGGGCCGTTGTCGTGGTTGGGCTATATTTAAAACATTCCGCTTTCTGTTTCCTTTGCTAGTGTCATTTTGTTTTCTCTTTTAGTTGCAGCTGTGAAGTCTTTGATTCATGATGTCATCAAATACTGAGTTACTATTTGCCAGACCTGGTCATAGGCTCCATAGACACCATGGAAGAGAAGCTAGTTGGGTGCCTTGGTCTCGTGCTTAGTTGGGGAGAGGGAACAGGCACATCAGATGGGATCTGCAGGCGAGAAGGTGGCTCCTCCACTGTACCTCTAATCTGGGTGTGAAGGAGGAGATGAAAGGAGCCTGGGAGAAGCCAAGCAAAGAACGGCCGGCACAAAGGCAGGGACAAGTCGGGCTTGTTCTGGGTCAGGATGACTAGAGATCTGTGGGAAGATTGAGTAAACAAGCCGGGGCTGTACCGTGTAAGAACTCAGCCCAGGAGGGAATTGGGACTCCGGGACGGCGTGCGGAGCTGTGGAGGTTTGAAATTGAAGACTCTACCGCTGTGTGGAAAGAGGATTCTGAGAGGGCTAGAAAACCAAGAGACGAGCGCATTAGGGCCTGTCGCAATAGTCTAGCTGAGAGACAGTGGTGGCTGAGACACTAAGGTGGTGACAACTAGACAGAAGGAAAGGTGGCTTGAGGAGTGTTTTGTGTCACTAGCTGAGCAACATAGGCCAGCTCTTACGGCACAGTCTACCCAGGCTGTGCGCTCTGAGCTCTCAAGAGCTCGGATTGTTTGCCTTTTCTTTTTAAACTATGTTTATATAAGCAAAGCCTCATTCGCACAGATGGCCAGTGGGAGACATACAACATGCAAGCAGAACATACAACATGGTGGGGGGCGGAGGGAAGAGCGCGAAAGGAACGTTTCTTCCTGCTGCCTCACCGTCAGGTTTCCTCTCACGTGAGAGAGGATTCTGATGACCAGAAAGAAGCCAACTCAGGCCACAGTAAACTTAAAAGGACTTTCCTGGGGGCTGAGAGACGGCTGAGCGGATAGCATGCTTGCTGTGCAAATGTGAGGGCCTGGGTGCACACTGCCAGCAGCTACACGCAAAGCTGGGTACGATAGCATGCGTCTGCAACCCCCATACTGTGAGACAGGTGGACCCCTGGGGACTTACCTGTCAGAGCTGTAAACTTCAGGTTTAGTGAGAGCCCTGACTCAAAGAATATGGTGCAAAGAGAGAGGAGGACACCCGCTGTCACCGCACAAGAACAGGGGTCATCCCCATACCTTCCCATATGAACATATATGTATACTCACACATACAAACTAGAATAGATTAATGGAATTTTGGTTTCCAGCACCTCAATGGAATGTCCCTGGAATCTTCCTTTTAGCTGTCTCCTTTTGACAGCAGACCCATCATGGCGATGGTTGCCCTCACTCCACCCTTAGCCACTGGCCTCCTGGAAGTCAGGCCACCAGGAAGCTGGCTTGACTGGGTCCAAAGACCTTCCTCATCATCTCTTCCCACTGTGCTGGTGAGCCAGGATCGGTCACCTCGAAAAGATGTCCCCCTACATTTGAATCTGTGCCCCACCCAGTGTTCTCACTCTGCGGCCTCCCTTCTCCTCACACCCCTAATCCAGGCACAGCTTGTCTCACGTCCTGTGTGAACCCATCATTTAGCAGACCCTTAGGACAGAGCGTCTACTGTCTGTCAGGGCCTTCCGGCCCTGCAGGCAACAATAGCGAGCAGTGACACTCCAGCATGGCAGATCGGTACTGATGGCCCTACTTAATAAATTGTCCGTTGAACTTTTCTAATTATGTCTGCAGTGCTGGGGATCAAAGCCACTGCCAGTCAGACAAATACTGTTCTCTCTTAACAGTACCTTTAGCCCTGAAGTTTTATTTATTCGTATATTATTTTATGTGTCTGGGTGTTTTGCTTGTGTGTGTACATGTACCATGTATGTGGCTGGCTGCCCAGAGAGGCCAAAAGAAGGCATTGGATCCCTGGGAACTGGAGTTACAGACAGCTGTGAGCCACCATGTGGGTGGGGGGGGGGTGGAGACAAGCCCAGGTCCTCTGGAAAAGCAGCCAGTGCTCTTAACCACTGAGCCATTTCTTTAGCTCATATCTCTGAATTTTGAAGTATCAGTGAAATTAAACTTTTTAGAACTTCCAGATACATTTTTTTGAGATAGGGTCTCATGTTAGCCCAGGCTGGCCTCAAATTTACTACGTAGCTGAAGATAACCTTGAACTTCTGACCCCTACCTCCCAGGTGTTGGTATTTCAGGTGGGCCCCACACCTCTGGCTCCAAATACATTTATGAACAGATTAGAGAGTGTCGTTCTGATTCCTGATAGTTGCACCGGGATGGCTAAATCTCCTTGCCTGGCTGAGGAAGGATGGGGGTAATAATGGAGAGGAAGGGGCGTCTTACAGGATGACTAAGAAGCAGAGGAGAGTAGGGAGGTGGGGCTGTGCGGAGGGACAGCCTGGGCCACTGTGATTAGAAGGAAGCCAAGTATTGATGAATCTCTGTGAAAAGCCAAAATCTTTGAAATTTGGTCCTTGATAGACAGAGAATCCCCAAATATTTGGACTTTCTCTATCTTCCAAATGGCCTGTCCCCCTCTCAGTAAGATAGATGTCTTGTTGACAGGTCTACAAAGTCATCCCTATGAGAAGGCAAGGTTTGGGACATAGGGGCTTTGATCCTTCATCTTTTGAAGTCTCTTGGTTGCCTAGGCACTGGAGCATGCCCCGAGCATGCTGACAGAGAAGCACCTTCGTTTCTTCTCTTCCTCAGCCTGGTGCAAGCACAGTACTGGCATGACCCCATCAAGGAGGATGTGTACCGCAACCACAGCATCTTTCTGGCAGACATAAATCAAGAAAGGGTAAGCACCCAAACTGCTCCCATGTTAGGCGTTTCTTTCTGGCCATCAGAAAGAAATCAACCAGTGCTCATTTACGAAAAATACCCCAAGCAGAAGCCAAGAACCAAGGGTTTTGAATGTGAAAGGCAGTACTCATGAGTTCCATCTGGCCCTCCCTCCCTGAAGCCCTCCACTTTCTTCATGTTGAAGCAGCAGAATGAGGTGACAGTAGGTGGCCTGCTGGGCAAAGTGGGGATTCACAGCTGCTGACTTCACAAAGCACATTTTTTTGTTTTTGTTTTTTCAAGACAGGGTTTCTCTGTGTAACTGCCCTGGCTGCCCTGGAACTCGCTCTATAGACCAGGCTGGCTTTGAACTCACAAAGATCCACCTGCCTCTGCCTCCAAGTGCTGGGGTTAAAGGTGAGCACCACCACCGCCCGGCTTAGATGGGACTTAAGAGACTCTAGAAAAGGCAGAGACTGTACCCAAGCATGAGCATGGTTTGGGACATTCTGGCCAATTGAATGCTTCATTTTATGTGATGGCTAAGTAGAGGGCATTTGTTGTTTGAAAGAAAAGTTGAAGAGGACAATAAACAAAAAAGGTCAGGAAACAATGCTGAATCTGGTGACAGAACAACCCAGAATTCTGTTTGTTTGCCTTGCTTTGAAGCCTGTGACCCAAGTGACTAATGTATATAGAGTACGTGGGCAGAACTCACGGGAGAATCCAGCCTGGCTGATAACACGCCAGTCAGACGGCTTTTCAGGGAAGGCTGGACTCTGAATCGCTGCCTGAACTTGACAGTAGCAACCCCGCACTACTGCTCTTCCAGAGTGTCAACGAGTCCTACAAGAAGAACCTGATGGCCCTCAAGAAGTTCGTGATGGTGAAATTCCTCAACGATTCCATGGTGGACCCGGTAGACTCTGAGGTGAGGCACGCGGCCACAGTGTGCCGAGAGACTGTAGGGAGTCAACGGCACCAACGGTGGCGGCCACAGTGTGCCACAGTGTGCTGAGAGACTGTAGGAGTCAACGGCACTGGCGGCGGCTGCTTCCTGGGCAAACCTGTCCTCCCACCAACTTTGCACCCAGGAAATCAGCTGCAATCCCCTAGTTGCACCCAGAATTTTAAGTAAATGTGGTACACTTTAGTTTTAATCAGGTTCTCAGAGATATGTCCCAAAAGGGATTCAGAATGACTAACCCCATATTTATGAACCCCTAAGCTTGATGTCCAGGTCTGCCTTGATTTAGAGGTAACAATCTTTACAGCTTCGTCTCCCATATTTTTGTTTTGAAATGTCCCGAACCTTTTTGGAGGCTTCTTTCACGAGCCTTCATCTTTTGAATGCTTTCCCTTGGCTTCTCCACCTGACAAACTACTGTTCTTTTGCTAAGGCTAAATACAATGTCACTTCCTTTAGGACACTGTCCCTACTCCCAGAATTCGGCTCTCATTTTAGTGGAGCCCTCACTCTGTAGCCCGGGCTGGCCTCGAACTCGCATTGATCCATCTCCCTCTCCTTTTGAGTGCTGGGAAGACTGAGAGGAAGAACCACCAGCTGCCTCAGCCGAAGCTCTGCTCACAGTCAGACCACGGCTGGGAGAGGACGGCAGCCTGAGGGCCAAATCTCACCATATTTTTGAGTGGCCTATGAGCTCAGAATTTTTTTCTTTCTTTTTTAATATTTATTTATTATGTATACAATATTCTGTCTGTGTATATCCCTGCAGGCCAGAAGAGGGCACCAGACCTCATTCCAGATGGTTGTGAGCCACCATGTGGTTGCTGGGAATTGAACTCAGACCTTTGGAAGAGCAGGCAATGCTCTTAACCTCTGAGCCATCTCTCCAGCCCCTGAGCTCAGAATTTTTACATATATAAATGACTGGAGGAAAAAAAATCAAGATATTTTATGCTATGAAAACTAGATGAATGCCAAATTTCCAAATGCATTCCATTAGAAATCCTTGCTCGGGCTCATACTGTTGCTCCCTTTGCATCACAGTGCCAAGTAAGAAGCCACAACCACGTGATTCTCTATCTGACCCAGTGCTGAACAACAAACTGCTTCTGTGCCTGCTAGACTGGGAGTCTGGGGAGGGGCTTATGTATTTATCCTCGAATGACTGGGGCGGCCCGGGGGCTTTCATTTGCTGTCAGAGAAAGAGTCCTCCCTCAGGATTGGCTGTTAAAATGAGATGACACGATATACCCGTATGTTACGTATGCTGGCACATGGCTGTAGTTCTAGCATTCAGAAGGCTCAGACGGATAGCTTACCAGGTTAAGATCAACCTGGGCTACACAAGGGAGTTCCAGGTCCCCAAAACCAAGGCCCCACTCCCATTCTTCCTTCTTGTTTGCTATGTTGCATATATTACAGTGTTCATTTTGCTGGTAGTTTCAGGTACTAGCTACAGTGTTCATTTTGCTGGTAGTTTGAGGTACTAGCTAGCGTCGAATCTGACCTATTCTTTTTCCTTCTCTCCTGCAGTGGTTTGGATTTTACATAAGTGGCCAAGCTAAGGAAACCATTCCTGTCCAGGAGAGCACTATATACAAAGAGGTAAGAGAAGGGGCTGGAGAGATGGCTCAGAGGTTAAGAGCACTGACTGCTCTTCCAGAGGTCCTGAGTTCAATTCCCAGCAACCACTTGGTGGCTGACAACCATCTGTAATGAGATCTGGTGCCCTCTTCTGGCCTGCAAGTGTACATGCAGTCAGAAAACTGTACACACACACAAAAAAAAAAAAAAAAAAAAAAAAAAAAAGAGGTAAGAGAGGGAGTGATCTGCCTTGGGAGGTTGACACTGTTTCTGTCATCAGCCTGGCTCCTGGAGCTGCTGGGCCCTGTTTGAGGGCAGGCCCTTGCCTTGTTTGTCCTAGAATACTCGTGAGCCATCTGACTTGGGCCTTACTGTTAGTGCTTGTCACACTAACTTCCTAGGCGCTGGTTTACAGCTTTTTACTGCATCTGTTTTACTTTTGAAGAAAAGGTTTGGAGCTGGCTTCCTTTGCAGAGTTTACTACAAATTCCAGAAGCCTCTAAGTAAATGCAGACAATGGGCGAGATGTCAGGCTACCTTAAGATCTGGACCTGGGCTGTTTTTCAAGCAGATGTTACAGTGTTTCACCACATCCAGTGTGGCTTGCCACAAACTGAAGAGTTTATACTTTATACTGGAGTTGGACTCACAAGCACCCAAGAACCACACCTGACTCATTTACTTCAGTGTGTCCCCGCAGTTTCAGAGGCATGGTTTCCTCTGCTTTTCTCATACACGTGGTGTGCCTATGGGTGAGTGAGGTCGGAAGAAAGGGAAGCTAGTTTCTGGCAGCCTTGGAAATTACAGCCAAGATCCTCCTTATCATGAAACTCAAACCCAGGGGTAGACAGACAAGCAGCGGCTTGTTCTACCTCTAGTCTCTTCCGGCAAGAGACTGACAGCCTGGCTATTGGGGGATGGCACTCTAACTGCAAGCCAGTAACAGGTCCCGAGTTCATGATCCTGAGAATTGGATATGCTTATCTTAAAACATTTGACCAGTTTTCTCCTGTCTTTGGCTCAGTCCCACTTCACAATAGCTGTTCTGTGCCGGGTTTGCCTGGGGCTTGTCCAGCTGCTTTTCAGAAAGTTGACTACAGGCACTGGGGTGCAGCTCAGGTCCAGGGGTTATTTCTAGCACCTTGCAGGGGTTAGGAGTGCAGCAGAATCAGAACAATCTCAGCTGCATATTAAAAAAAAAAAAAAAAAAAAGACAGCATCTCTATGTAGTCCTGGCTATCCTGGAACTCTTTATATAAACCCAGCTGGTCTTGAACCCAGAGACCCACCTGTCTCTGGCTCCTGAATGGTAAAATTAAGGGAATGGGTCACTATGCTGGCTTACTCCCCCCCTCCCCCCCCAATGCATACGGTGCTTTATCTGCTAGTACACCTGCATGGCAGAGGAGGGCATCAAATCGCATTATAGAAGCGGTGTGAGAGCCATTATGCTGTTGCTGGGAACTAAACTCAGGACCTCTGGAAAAGCTGCCCATGCTCTTAACCACTGAGCCATCTCTCCAGCTGCCATGTATTTTTAATGCTTAGAGGTAGCTGAAGGAGCCAGGCATAATAGTAAAACAGTAAAATCCCCCTTGCCACTCAGGAAGCTGAGGCAGGATTGCTGCAAGTTCGAGGCCAGCCTGGGCTATAAAGCAAGACCTTAGCTCAAAAAAAACAAAACAAAATCCTGAAAGGAAGCATCCTTTCCCCTCCCCCCCCAACAACACAGCTCTATTTTAATACTGAAGGGAAAATGTACTTTGAGACGAATGCTGTACACATTGTTGTTAGTCTAAAACCTTCCATTAAGCCCTTGAATTCATTATGGCCTTTCTCTCTACAGGACCGCCTGGGACTAAAGCAAATGGACAAAGCAGGAAAGCTGGTGTTTCTGGCTAAGGAGGGGGACCATCTTCAACTGTCTAAAGAATGGTTTCATGCCCACATCATACCTTTTCTTAAGTGAAGCCCTTGTGCTTTGCAGCAGAGCTCAGGAAAGCCCAGCTCTCCATGGCCGACCCTGATCTCTAACCTAGCTTGCAATCAGCCCTCCTCTCCTGTTATCTAACATGCCCTACTTGGAAAGATCTAAGATCTGAATCTTATCCTTTGCCGCCTCCTAGAACCATATGGTGTTGAATTCAAATTTAATTAGCTAATAACCATGGCGATTGTTTTACGACCTTGTGATATGGTCAGGCTTCCTCTTGAGAAGGGAGTCTGCTGTTGCAGATCAATCATTGTGTCCAAAGGAGACAAGAAAATGAAGCAGGGAGACAGGCTGAGGGCATAAACCCACACAAATCTGGATCAAATAAAAGCCTGAGGTGCTCGTGCAGCACTCTCGGCGCTGCTGCTGCTCGGACAGCATTGCCTGCACGATTCTGCATCATTTCCTAAGGCTGTCTTCCCATCTAAGGGTTGCCTTCTAGTGGCTCCTAGCAGTCGCTCCACAGGCCTGCCTTCGTGTCTCCACAGAACTCACCTTGAACCCTCAGTGATAAGAATTAGTCACAAAACGAGGGAACGGCTAGCAGGGTGGCTTAAGAGAAGAAATGCACTTTTTTTTGAGACAGAATCTCACTCACTTTGTAGCCCTAGCTGGCCGAATCCACCCCTTGCCAGTTTTCCCTTTTCTCAAATCTACGCTTCAATAACAAGATACGGGGTAGGGGCAGGCAGTGGGAGGGTGTGACGCTCACTTTACAGGCTGTCTGAAATAAAGAGTAGTTTCTTACCCTTGTGTCGTTTTCCAGTGCTTTCACATCTCAGTACAGATGAGGTAAATAACTGAACAAGTTTGGTATTAACTTTATTCTATTTTCTGTATAACTTTAAGTACATAAAGGTTTATTTCCACAGGCCTCAGGAAACGGGCAGAAGTCACAGGACAATCTCTCTTCCCACCAAAAACAAAACAAAAACTTTGCATATTTTGGTCAGTGTGTCCTAGAGGGAGAGCTGGGATTTACAATGGCAATGCTGTGCAAGATTTGTACGGAAATCAAGACCCAGACAACCTGCAGTGGAGGTCTCGCCCTGCTCAGGGGCCCGCAGTGAGGCGCTAAGCTGCCGAGCATGACGGGCAGGGAAGAGGACCGCCAGACTCCTTGGAATGGTGTGCTGCTTTGCTTTGCTTTTTAAGCTGGCCCCGTGAGAACCAAGGTGGTCATCCCAGAGGGAGGAAAAAGGGTTGAGACTTTTTCCCCTCAAAAATGGTACTGCTACTGCAGCTGAGAGCAGAAAGCCTGCTACTTTGTGGTTGAGGCTGACCCAGAATGGAATGCAGAATGAAGGAATGCTTTTAGGAAACAAGTCTGCTTGGAATGCTGTGTGGCAAGCCTTAGCCTTTGGTCCAGTGCAACCCTGGCCTCACTTCTCAGCGATGAACAATTAGATTGGTTAGAACCTTACGGAGTCACACTGGCTCCTGCTGCCGCCATGCTGGCTGTTAAGAGTAGAACACATTCTGATCTCTTTGTTTCCAGGATGTTTCCCCCCAAGGACTGTGTGTTGGTAGAATGACCCCCAAAGCTGAAAGCTCCAGCCTGGGCCCGCAGCTCTTAAGCACGGACTGCGGTGCAGCTGCGCTGGTGCGGAGCCATGCACCTTCCCGCCAGAGATCCACTGACCTGCTGTCCCGCCCATTCTCAGCCTGAGGTATATTCAGTGAAGGCAGGTAGCTGGGCTTCTCAGAGCAGAGATGCAGTTTAAGAGCAGAAAGGTAGAGGAAATCTAGAAAAGAACCGTCTCCATACAGATGTATCCCATGGTGTGAAAGGGGAGGGCGCAGGACCCGCGGGCATTCGCTTATCCAGCGATCTCTGTCACTGTGGTGACCAACTTCTGCCCATTCCACAAGGTCTTGAACTGCTCAGGGACTGGAAACTCGTTCTGTAAAAAAGAGGTAACAAGTCGATGGAAGTAGAGATGGCTCAGCGGTTAAGAGCCCTGGCTGCTCTTGGAGACCTGGGTTTGATTCCCGGCACCCACAGGGTGGCTCCCAACAATCTGTAGTTCTGGTTCCGGGTGATCCGACACCCTCTTCTAACCTCAGGCACCAGTCACACATATGGTGCAACTACGTAATACAGACAAAGCACTCAGCCACAAAATAAATCCACAAATCAACAGACTTAGGAGGTAACATGTTGGAATCCTGCCTATAGAATGAGCTGGGCGGTTTCTGTTTCGCACCTCTGCCAATGCCCGGCTTCCACTTAACCGTGAGAGCAGTGTAGGGTGGTGTGAGACAAACCTCACCAGCAGCCATGCTGCACTGTGCTGCCCACTCTCTGGTGATCTACGACCCTGACAGGCTTAGCCCTAGACACCAGCTTTATGGGGGGGGGGGGGCTCTGACTCTCAGTGAGCTGAGAAAGGCAGGAACGACCCTCCCCTTGGAGTCCCTTCACAGAACTAGCTGGCTTCTGTGTGCACTGTTTTGGATTTACCTACAGAATGCAAAATGTCCATCAAATAGTTTTCTCTAATTCCTTAAGTCTTTGGTTTCAAGAGACAGTTTTACTACGTAACCCAGGCTGGCCTCAAACTCAGACTCCTCCTAGCTCAGCCTCCTGAAGGTAGGGAATACATGTGCATACCAAGAGGCTCAGCTCGTTTCTTCCAGTTTTAATATCATGTTCCTCAGGGATATAATTTAATTGGTAGAGTGCTTGCCTAGCATGCAACAAAGCCCTGGGTTCAATCTTCAGCAGCAAAGAAACGGCCCTGTGCTATATCCCAGCATGTGGGAGGCAGAGGCAGGAGGATCACCAAAGAGCTCCAGGCCGGCCTGGAGTACAAGAGGCTGAGGCAGAGGCACAGAAAGAGAGAGAGAGAGAGAGAGAGAGAGAGAGAGAGAGAGAGAGAGAGAGAGAGAGAGGACTTACAAAATCTCCGCCTTCTGTAGGAATGAGGACGTTCATCTCAGAAGATTTGGCACTGACTATCTCACAGTCCAGGGAGTTCTTGCTCAGGTAAGCATGGCAGCCATCTGTTTTGTTAATGGAAATGGTTGGCACTTTTCCCATCACCTGTAGAGAAAACCAAGACAACTGAGTTCCAGCAGAGAAGGGCAGACTAAGCTGTGGAGAGAATGTTCACTGTTTTAAGTGATCGCACTACCCCCCCCCCCCCCCCCCCCCCCCCCCCCCTGCACAACAACTATTAGAAACAGATGCGCTGGGCTAAGTCCTGGAAAGCGCTTCCTTAAAGAGCTGACTTCTGCCACATGCAAACCAGCTCAGCTTACAGACTTTGGAGAATCAGATTCCTGCCCAAGGAGCATCTGTGAGTCTGCTGTATCTATCAATTAATTCCTCAGGGACCAAAAGGAGGAGCCGAGATATCATTTACCTGAACTTTGACATCTCTACTATTGATTATCTCCACAATGCCCACCACGTCATCAAACACCAGGCCGAGCTTCTTACAGTTATCTAGGAGAAGCAGATCAACAGTGTAACTGCAAAGGACAGAGTGGAAGGACTTCCACTTCCAAAGAGGTGGAAATGACTGTAGCCCTCTCGGGCTCTAGGTCAGACCTGCCTAGGGCAGCAAGGAGACTCACCTACTGTAATGGAGTTAATTTTGCCCTTGATTTGCAATGTCGTGTTGACACACTTGTATATGTAAGCCACCTGTTTCAGCTCAGTGTCCTCAATCAACAGGTTGGAGACATTCTCCTGGTTTTCCTATGAAGGCACACCCCAGGATTCTTAGCACAAAGCACACATCCACAAAACCAACACCTCATCCCAAACCTTTGTTCCTCACTATCAGCCATCCCCTGCACACTTCAGCTGAATTCTGGGTAAAGCACCACTGCTCCGCCCCCTTCCCAGAGCCCAGCCCCTTTAACTCACCACTCGCCACTTCTTGCCTTCCAGTTCCAGCACAGCTGGCTCCTTCTTTGGGGCTGGTTTGGGGGAGGGGCTGGTTTGGGGTTTAGGTGCAGAGAAGGGTTTGGGGCCACTCCGAACTGGACCACTCTGAGCTTTCAGGGCAGGGTTCTTGTGAGTCTTCATGTCGTCAGATACATGTTTCAGGGCTGCAAGAACACACAACAGCTACCTTGCTCCTAGTCTTCATACCAGAGCTGGGGCCGAGGCAATAAACAAGGCCTGCTATCACTAGTCCTTAGCAGAAACTTCAAGAACCCAAACTCGGGAGAGGCCATCTTGCAAGCAGTTTTGGAGAAGTGCTTTTATGATTTCTCTTGTCCTCTCGGTTATATGGTTTTATTAAAAAGCAAAACAAAGGCAGCTGTGTGTGTCAAAGGTGAGGAAGGAACAAGAATATGCAAATACATAAAAACAATCTAGAAAGGTATGTGTCAAGTACATACACATAGAATATGTATGTATGTCATAATAAAAAGAGGAAATTATGTCACAGTGAAGAAAATCTAGGAAAAAAAGCCTCCTATATAGCAACCCCTCCTAATCAAGTGTGGGCATTTTGGTGGTTCTTTTTTTTTTCTTCTTCTTTTCTTCTTCTTTTTTTTTTTTTTTTTTTTTTTTTTTTTTTTTTTTTTTTTTTTTTTTTTTTTTTTTTTTTTTTTTTTTTTTTTTTTTTTTGAGACAGGGTTTCTCTGTGGCTTTGGAATCTGTCCTGGAACTAGCTCGTGTAGACCAGGCTGACCTCGAACTCAGAGATCTGCCTGCCTCTGCCTCCTGAGTGCTGGGATTAAAGGTGCCACCACCACCCATTGGGCATTTTGTTACTATGTATTAATTAAACATAACAGGTTACACTGTGAGGTTTTCATACATGTATAAATATGTTTTGATCATATTCACACCATTACCTTCTGCTGTCCCCCTCCACTCCTGCTGCTCCCTTCCTTCCCCACAAGCCCCTTCTACTTTCACGTCCCTATGTGTGACACATAAGCTTCATCAGGCTTGCTTATAGGAGCATGAGTAAGAGTTTATTTATCTATCAGCTCTTTTCTGTGATCTAGTCTTTTTCTACTCATACTGTTGTATTTGGTTACAGCCATACAAATTGTTAATATTCAACTTTTTAAAAAAAAAACTCATTTTTTAACTTTTTTTTTAAAATTTTGGTAAGCAGGCTGGCAAAAGTATGCTGACTACATAAACCAAAAGTGAGTGCCAGTTTTAGCTCTACCACTGCTTGTGGTTGTAATATATTCACTTTTGGAGGTAGAAGCTGTTTTGTGAGGACCTTACAGCTGGTGGGAGGACCGTACAATCTACCTTCCTCAGTGGAGCTGGATCTATGCATCCCCATAGCTGTTCCAAGAGGTAGCAGTTACATACTAGATTGTTTGCTCCTTAAACATTACACGGTTCCTTTGGTGGAAAAAGTGTAACATGGCTGCACAGTCTGCAATCAAGAGGCCACACCTCAGTTAACAGCATTTCCCCTAATGCTGTGTTTCCCTAACCACATCACTAGTGGTGTCTATAAATAACAGTCTATGACTGTTTCATATATTGTTACAGTACATTCTTAGTCAAGGGTTGTACAATTCAGAATTCCACCAGCTAGGTAGAGAAGTGTTCACTTTCTCCAACAGTAGTCCTTTGTATGCGAATTTCCCATGAGGCAAGTATAGATCCTCTGAGATGTTAGCATCCCGACACAATGACTTCAGAGACCATGGGTATTTACAATGTGGCAGGCTCCGGGAAACCTGCTAGTGCTGAGCTGGCTAAGAAGGTGCCCTGGACATGCTGCTCACGCTGCCCAGGGACTCACTGTCATTACCCATGTTGAATTTTTACTCTTTAAAATTAAGTATTCACTTTTGCATTTATTAGAGGAAGAGAAGGGAGTCAGAGGACAACTCCCAGGAGTCAGATCTCTTCTTCCACCAAGTGGGTCTCAGGGGTCACACGCAATCCATCAGTCAGGCTTGGGGGTGAGCTCCATTACCCACTGAGCTAGCTGGTCTTTCATTAAGAATGATTCTTGTGGGCAGGAGGGACTCATGCACTGTGTGCCTGTGAGGGTGAGCAGACAACCTGACACTTCTCTTCACTTTGTGGGCTCCAGGGACTGATTACCAGGCTTGTGCTGCAAGCACCTCTACCTACTGAGCCACCTCACTGGCCCTTCAATCACAACTCAATTCAAGTTTGATGTCCCTTTGGATAACTTGAAGGCAAGTGGCACCCCAAATGAATGTTCCCACATGCAAGCCAGAGTTCTGGTTTAGATAGAATAGCTGCTGTTGTGTCTGGTTGGTGGAGTCTAATCCAAACAATTTGCTTTAACAACTGCTCCTGCCAAAATACTCACCATGTGTGATGCTTTCCCCCTGATTAATCTGTGCAAACAGCGCTGAGCGGGAAGCAGAGTCGTCGGAGCTGGAACTGGTAGGGACTGGAGGAGGAGGTGGGCCTGGTGGGGGTGGAGGGGGACCTGATCCAACGGAGGGTCCGGATGGCAATCCACTTAGTTCTTTTGCCACAGGCCCCTGAATAGGAAGTGCAGGGAATACAGTCATCCTTCTTCATTTGTTGTGCTCTGGGTATTTATTATAGCATTCAGCTTAGTAATTTATAATAGGGGTCTGTCTTGGTACTTTTGAAATTTATTTTTAAATTACTTTTTGATTTTATTATTTTATGTACATGGGTATCTTGCCTCATGCATATCTGTGCACCACATGTGTGCCTGGTGCTCAGGGAGGACAGAGAGGGTGTTGGAATTACAGACAAAGTTGCCCTATGGGCCTAGAGAATCAAAACCAGGGATCAGCCAGTGCTCTTTACTGCTGGGCCATCTGTCCAGCCCCATCTCTCATTTTTTTTTTTTTTTTTCCCCGAGACAGGGTTTCTCTGTGGTTTTGAAGCCTGTCCTGGAACTAGCTCTTATAGACCAGGCTGGCCTCAAACTCACAGAGATCTGCCTGCCTCCGCCTCACGAGTGCTGGGATTAAAGGCGTGTGCCACCACTGCCCGGCTTTCCATTTTTTTTTTTTAATAGATTCTGACTGGCTGTGATATGGGCTGATACACTTATTTACACATTTTTTTTTCTTTTCTGAGACAAGGTCTCATGTATCCCAGACTGTCCTGGAAGTTACTATGTAGCAGAGGCATAACCTTGAAATCCTGATCCTCAGATCTCTATCCCCTGGGATAACACATGTGTGACGTCATGACTTGGGAATTAAGCCCAGAGCTCCTTGCGTGCTAGGCTAGCACTCTACCAACTCCCAGAGCCTTGTATTTGTAGTGTGTGTGTCTGTGTGTGTGCGCATGCACTCGCATGTGCACGCAAGGGAGCAGATGCACCTTTATTATCTGTATTTTTTAATTCCTTGAAAGCTAGGATAGCATGACTCATTCATCTGTATCTGTCTTCCAGCACCAGCCATTGTCCCTGATCAGTATTTAGCATCCAGGCCTGGGGATGGACTTCAGCTGGATGCTTGCCTGGTGTACATGAAACACTGGGTTCGACTCCCAGCACTCTTTAAAAGCTGTCGTGAGGGGGTGTACCTGCCATCTTAGCACTTGGCAAGGGGAAACATGAGGATCAGAAGTTCAAAGGTTATCCTGGAGAGAACGAGAAAGAAAGAGAACTAACTAACCGTCTTGCTCCAGGCCAGGCTAGTGGTGTGGAACTCCTTGATATAAGCCTGCAGTTCTGTCCATATACTCAAGTAAGCTTTGACCCAGTCGACATGCTTCTTATCCCTGGGGAAATTGAAAAAAAATTCCAGAGAATGATAATAACTCCAGACCCCTCCCGTCCATGAGTTCACATCTTCCTGCTGCGGCATTTCTTAGGCTCTGCTCAATGGCAGCTTCCCTTTTATCAATTATAGTTTTGTTTTTAATTATTTTATGTGTATGAATGTTCTGCCTATATATTTGTATATATACCACGTGTGTGCCTGATGCCAGAGGAGGCCAGAATAGGGTATTGGATTCCCTGACTGGAGATATGGATGGTTGTGAGCCTCCAGGTGGGTGTTGGGAATCAAAGCAAGAGTCCTCCCCAAAAGCAGTTGGTGCTCATAACTGCTAAGCCATCTCTTTAGCCTCTTATCAATGATGTTTATCTTAAAACAAAACAAAACAAACAAAAAAACTGGGCATAGTGAGCATGCCTTAATCCCGGCACTTGGGAGGTAGAGGAAGTGGATTTTTAAATTTTAATTTAATTTTGAATTTTTAATTCAATGCCACCCCAAATGATCTACAGATCAAGTTCCAGGAGAGCCAGGGTTACACAGAAAAATGCTGTCTCGAAACAAAACAAAACAAAAGAACCAAAACCAAACCTTACTCTCTTATTCTAACTAGAATAAACTCCAGGAGAACAGGGACAATGTGTTTATTTCTATCTTTGGCAGCAGTGTTTAATCAGTGTTTTTTTTAGGACCAGAAATGTGTTTCTCTCAAAATATATCATAGGCAGAACCTAGTAGCAAAGTGGTAAAGGCAGACATTTGTGCAGGAAGTCATAGTGGAGCCAAGATTACTCAAGTATTGCCATGGAATTGAGGGACTGCATGAGCCCAGTGCCTTCTGTCAAAATGTGCTCCCAGCTGGGCAATGGAGGCACATGCCTTTAACCCCAGCACTCAGGAAGCAGAGGTAGACAGATCTCTGTGACTTCGAGGCCAGCCTGGTCTACAGAGTGAGTTCCAGGACAGCCAGGGCTACACAGAGAAACCCTGTCTCAAAAACAAAAACAAAAACGGAACAATAAGTGTTTATTATAGAAGACACTGTGTCCAGAATGATCCCTTCTCTTTCTAAATGTTAGCTGGAAGACTGTGTGATTACTTAGCCCAAGACCTACTTTGGTCAACTATAAAATGACAGGGTAGATTCCAGGCAGAGTATGGGTAATTCCAGGCTGCTAGAAATATTAAAGAAAGTTGTGGTGTTGTGGGATACACGTCACACAAATGAAGACTTATTTCTTACACAGCTAGTCAACAAATGTCTCCTGACTGATCCTGGTCTGGATAGCTATAGAGCTAGTAATTGTAGTCACTCCAGCTCAAAATTAGCAATGAGAAGTCACTTAGGACTAGCATAACTATGTGGTTAGAATGCAATAACTCCCTTCTACTTAACACCGACGTTGGCTAGGCAGCCTTATCTGAATATGTGAATATACAAGATAATTTTCTAGTTAAGTCCTACTGACCCCTTTGCCACAATACCACTACTGAGACACACCAACAGAAGAACAAAATCTGATTCAAACAAGCAACTCCTAGGCCTGGAGAGATGGCTTGGTGGTTAAGAGCAATGGTTCCTGCTCCAGAGAACCCATAGTCAGTTCCCAGCACCCACAAGGCAGCTCACAAAATCTGCAACTCCAGCTCCAGGGGATCTGAAGCTCTCTTCTGGCTCTGAAGGTACCAGGCACATACAAAGTGCAGACGCACATACAGGTAAACAACCAAATCAGAATAATTAAAGAGGGGCAACTCAAAAGGCATTAATCCATGTTATCTCCAGCACAACCCCTACTCTGGGAAAACTAAAGACTAGAAGCTGAAGCGTGTCTGCGTTCAGGGCGGAAAAGAAATGAAGGCCCCTGCCTGCAAATGTACTTTCTGTGAGCTGGGGTCCACCTAGCTTCCCACAGAACAGCCCTGAAGTGGGAGAGCCAGCTCAGAAGACCTCTGCAGGAGCCACCTGGGCAGAGGCAGACTCACACATCTTTGTACTCCTTGAGGACGCGGTTTGTGTAAAACATGGCAGCATCAGTCATCTCTTTCACAAAGGGGCCGGGCTTTGCAGCCTGCAGAGAAAGAAGCAGTCGGTGACCAAGAGCCCCAGCAGCTGTTAACTCCCTGCCCTTAGTCGCTCCCTTCCCTCTTACCAGAGCCACCCAGCCCAGGGCCTGGATGCTTTCACTGACAGCTGACAAGTGATTGAAAAACTTGCTGCCTCGGTTCTTCTCCCGGAAGGTTATGACTTCTTGGATCTGCTCCGAGATGGGTGCCAACAAATCAGAAAGCTTATTCTAGAAGAGATGAGGGAAGACTGTGGTTAGTATTTCTATAAAAGCTGTGTGTGCTCATCAACTCTTGATTCTGAAGGTAGAGACTCTTCTACGTAGCCTAGACTCCAGATACTCCTGCCTGGAATTATAACCATGTGCCAAAATGCCAGATGATGCAAGAATTTGTTACAGTCTACAACGAGCACACAGCTAGGCTTCGTAGCCCTCCTGCCTTGAGTCATATAGCTAAGACACTGCTCACACCCTTCCTCTGCATAAAGTTTCAACTCCTCAGGAGGGACTGTGCTCAGGATCCATATTCTCTACCAGGAAAGCCCACCATTCCGGCCACTTGTCTCTTCTGACCCACTAAAAGAAGATGCCACTTTATTTTTGTCTTTTTACTAATGTTCTCTTTTTCCACCTATGCAAATGCTTCACGTGCAGCCACTGCAAGCGCCGGTATCATGTGTCCCTATAAGCAATCTTGGCACCTTACCATACACAGCACTGCAAACTGTCACTGGACCCAAGAATGTTCTTCCTTTCCTTTGTTTCTCTGTGGGACAGGGTCTTATGCAGCCCGGGCTACTCTTTACGTTAACAAAGGATGTCCTAAACTCCTCCTGATCGTCTGTCTCTACCTCCCAAATGTTAGAATTAACAATGTAATACCAAGCCTGCTGCAAATATGCTTTTCTTTTTCTGTGTCTTTGTCTGGGTTCTCCTTTGTCCTCAAGGCACCCCGCACCACACAGCAGCTGCTGAATAGAGATCTGGTGTCAAATGCCGTCAGTAATGCTGCCTCTCCAAGCTGCTTAGCAAAATGGATGAACCTCGTGTTTCCATTTTTTGATCCTCCCTTCAAAACTAAGTTTCCTAACCATGTCAGTTCTCAGCTCCTACATGCACACAGCCTAACAGAAGCCTGAGAACGTCTTCTCTACAGGACCAGTCAGTAAATATCTGTTCCCAGAGAACTTCACTTCCAGCCGGGCAGTAGTGGCCCAGGCCCTTTAATTTCAGCGCTTGGAGGCAGAGGCAGGCAGATTTCTTGTGAGTTTGATTCAGCCTGGTCTGCAGATCGAGTTCCAGGACAGCCGGGCTTATTTCACAGAGAAACCCTGTCTCAAAAAAACAAAAAAAAAAAAGGAAAGAAAAGAAACTTCTTTCCATTCATGGGGAGCAGGTCAGATTGGCTTGCAACCTGTGGCTTTGCTAATCCTTGGTCTAAAACATTACATCTTGGCTGCTTTATTTATTTAAGAAAGTATGAGCTTGGAGAAAAGACTTAGATAAAACATTTGTCACTGAAGACAGACACTTAAATTACCCTGCATTATTTTCACATCACTTAGGCATGGCATGGATCAAGCGTTTTACTCTAGCTTTAGCAAGGTTTGTTTATAAGCTTCTATGATTAGGAAAGCCTAGGACAGAAGAATCTTTCCTTCTGAGAAAACCCTCATTTCTCTAACTTGACTTTCCACATCTGGTAGCACAAAATGCCGAAGTAAAAGTCGAGTTAAAGGGAGACTCTGAGAGCAGTAAAGGAGAAAGGGAGAAAGCAGTAAAGAAAGTTCCAGAGGCTTGGGTGCTCCACCACAGCCTTGTCCACCCAGCATAAAACCAGAACCACCTCTGTTTGCTGAGAGAAGCAGCAACGTCCCAGGGGCAACTCAAGTTATGAACAAAATGGCAGAAAACAAAAGTCAGCAGGGACCGGTAAGTACCCAAGGCACTTCCCCTTGAGGGCGCTCGATGCGGAATGACTGGGTATTACTACAAGTATGATAGGTCTATTAGAGCATGTTGTGACAGCCGCTTGGAGGTTTCTCAGTTTGCCTTGAGCCCTAGAACAAACTAAACCACCTTGTAATGAACTTACACCGGCTGGCTGCTGGCACTGAGAAGCTGTAACCAGGAGAGCTCGTTCCAACTTCAGGCCTGTGTGGACCATCTCTGCCTGCAGGAGAAAACAATCAGCTATCCATGACACATGACAACTGGAGAGGTCCTGCTAAGTATAACTTCCATGTCCACAGGCTCTGGCAGTATCCAAGCCTAGCATGCGGTCTGCCTTGTGGATTCTAGAGTTCAGGGACAGATACCAGAATCAGTTTACTACTGTTCTTGTTGGAACTGTTAAGGTCAGATCGCCAGGGCTGGAAATGAGGATAATCATGACAGCTTAGGTGAAGGAGGGTCAGTGAGTTCATATGAGGTGCTTTGGGGTTTGTTTGGTGAGGAGCTTGGCACAGAACCCAGGGCCTGTGAGTGCTAAGCAAATGCTCTACCACCGAGCTAATAATATCCCCGGCCCATGAAAATGTGTTTAAATTTATTTTTATTTTTATCCATGTGTCTCTGTGTGCATACCCTTCCTTGTGTGCAGATCCCAATTAGGCCACAAGAAGGCGTCAGACCCCCTGCACTGGAGCCATAAGTGGCTGTGAACCACCTGATGTGGACGCTAGGGAGAGAGCTCGAGCCATCTGCAAGAGCAGCAGCATCTCTCCAGCTCCTTACTTTAATTTTGATGTTTTGAGATGGGGTCTTACTTTCTAGCCTACCTAAGGAAACCTAAAGACTGTGGCATCCTCCTGCCTTAGTCTCCCAAGACTAGGATGACAGGCAGGAGCTACTACATACATCTGGATCTGTACTTTCAAAGATAAAAATGACATATGTTTTGAAATTTTGTTCAAGGGGCTGAAGAGGACTCAACAGTTAAGAGCTGCAGCTGTTCTTCCAAGAGACCGACCCACAGTTAATTCCTAGAACCCACCGGGGCTCACACCATCCCTAACTCCCACTTCCAGGGGATCTGATGCCTTCTTCTAGACCACGGGCACAATGCATACAAGGGGTATACAGACATGCATGCAGGCAAAACACCTGGATGCATAAAAAAAAAAAAAACTTAATTTCTTAAGTTCTTTCCCAAATGTTACAGAACTGTCCGAAGCTCCACAGAGCTGCTCAGGGCCAGCTAGAAAGGTCCTCATATGGTTACTGTTCCCAGATGATCATTCAGTGCCCCGGCAGAAAGGTGCTGGCCCCAGAGAAGCAGAATGTATATGTGAGTGTGGGATGTATATGTGCCGGTGGTGATGACAATGAAGGAGGCAGCGCATGAAGGGTGGTGGGAGGACAGGCATCTGCCACTGCCTACTCTGTTTCTCACAGGGGACTATAAGTAACCCATATTAGCATTAGCTAATAACTATCAAGCATGGCTTCATAAGTGCTAAATCAGGATAATGAGCCTTTTGAGTAAGGCCCCCCCCCCCCCCGCTTGGTTATATAACATGAAGATAAGACTACAAATGCCTTCTTCACCACAAAGATGAACATGGCTATATTTATGAACAAACAAGCTTTCTCATAAAAGAAACACACAGACCATGTAATAAAAACAGGAGCCTAGAAAAATGAAATCGTTTCTGTGCCCGGAACAAAGAAGGTAGAAGGAGTCAGGAGGTTCCAGAGGGCTCGTAAGCCGAGGGTGAAGGAGATGTGAGGAAAGCCGCCAGTCCTTACACAGGAAGGAAAAGAAAGGCCCGCATCCTTACGTGTTTCTGCACGTCTCCCCCAATCTCCTTACTCATCTTCAAGTACTCTGCCACGGGATTGGCAAGCAGCGAGTCAAAGGCTTGCACATATGGAACAGCTCCTGGGGAGGCAGACATACAAGAGGAACCATCAGTCACGCAACAGAAGGCTTAAAAACTTCCGTGGGTGGTGTGTGCTGGCATGTATGTGGACATCAGAGGACAGCTTCAGGTCTCTGTCCTTGCCATCTGCTTTGACACAGCAACCCTTCTTGCTCAGGACTGCACACACCTGGCTGACAAGCCCATGAGCTCCCAAGGAGGCAAGTTCCTGTCTCTGCTGCCCATCTCGACACGGAGTCCTGGGATCACAGACACATGCTCCTGTGGCCAGCACTAAGTGGGGTCTGAGGATCTGAACCGAGTTCTCAAGCTTGTTTGGCAAGCATTTAACCTGCTGAGCTATCTCCCCAGACAGGACATGGTTCTTAAAAGGGGAAAGTCAAGGAGACACAGTGCAGAAAAAACTAGAGCAGCAGCCGGGCAGCAGAGCTCTGTCTCTACCGCCATCACTAACGGCCTCTGTGGCATCCTTCCTCTCTAGGCTAAGTTCTTCATCTATGAAGTGAAAAGAAACATAATGACCCCCCCCCCAGGATTCCTTCAGCTCCAGCGCTCTGTGTCCACTACTGTATCGGCAAATGGTTAATCGGCCAAATCATTTAGAAATAAAAAACTTTAATATCATCTATCATTTGACAGAATGACTGAAGTCATCCTGCTAAAGGACAGGAAACATCACACAAGCAGGAAGTTCTTGTGTTAAAACTACTTAACCACAGACCTCCCTGTGCCAAGTCACTTCCTTCCTGATCTGTCACAGGAGATGAAGGGAGGTGGGCTCTAAAGAAGAGAGTTCACCAGGCAGGGACAACACAAGCACCTGACGGGTCTGGCTTACCTTTTGAAGAGCTGTCTCCGTAGCCACAGTGCATGTCCGAGGAGTGTGACACCGCCTCCAGGCGGCCCACTGCCCTCTCCAATCTTTCTACAAGATTTTGCATGTCGGCCATAATGTTCCACCTGCTGGAACAGATCAGATGTTATGTGCTATTTTAATATTATACCCACATGGGGTGAGAAGGATGCCAGTTCTGCGGAACAGGATAATTTAGTAATAAAATACAGTGGGAAAGTCATCTAGAAAATTTGCAAAACTAAGCAGACTTCATTACGTAAGAAAACAACTCAGAAAAAAAGTGTCCATTAATGCAAATCTTATTCAAATACTTATTGAGTACTTAGCATATACTAACAATTATTTGTGTGGGAATTTAGAATTTACAAAGTATGGTCATATAAATTTTCTCAGGTTAAGCTTCCCCTACAACTATCTGGGATAATAACAATACTCCTTTGAGGTGGGGGGGAGCCCAGGTCTTCAATGCTAGGCAAGCACTCTCCCACTTAGTCATACCCCCAACCCATTACTGAATTCTTATCTACTGAAATTTATTTTGAGCGACAGCCAATGACATGTCTCCAGTCACTGATCACCACAGAAGCCAACATTCAGATCTCCTGCTACATGTTTGTACCCCACCCCCAATTCTCTGCTGTCTGCAGTGGGACGTCACAGACCAAGATAAATAGCATCCTTGCTGACTTGAAGGTTGAGAGAGGGTATTTAACGTATACATTAACAACTACCCAGCGAATGGGAAAAGCTGAAGATGACAAAAGCTGCAGACAGGGTGGCATGGGGTTGCGGAGAAGGGCGAATGCATCAGCTGGGAGGTCAGATGAGGCTATCATGAAGCTGCTATCTGAGCCAGGCTCCAAAGAGAATGGGTAGGGTCTAGATATGCAGCCAGGAAGAAGAGGACAGACCTGACGGTTTGTTATAGACTTGTCCCTTCCTGAACCAGCCTTGTTCACTAAGACCCTAAAGAAGGAGAAAGTTGCTGATCTAATTGGACTCTTACTCTACTCTCCCATCCAGATCACTCACCCTGCAGGTTAGGCTGGAGGTGTGCAGTCCGTCTTTATGAACCATACACACTGTGCAACCACAGAGGGACAAGGGCCCCGACTACACACCCACGTGTGAAGCATTTCCTATCTGCACCCATACAAGGTAACTGGGAGTGCAGAATTTCAGCTAAAGCCTTGACTTAAATTCCGATTAATCAAAACATTAAGTAGTTCAAATAAATGAAGCTGACCCGACTCGGTGACTCCCACAACAATTGTGATTCTTCCACAAAATCAGAGTTGGCACACCAGGTGTCTCCCTCTTCCACACTGGCCTCCCTGTGCAGGCGAAAAGCAGCTGACCAGACAATACAGCCCCTGTCTGTTCGGTTTGCAGGTCCTGTCTCCCTGGACCCAGGCGCTTGTTACCAAACGTTATTTAAGAGTGTTAGTGAGAAAAAAAATAAGCGTGAGAAATCGATGCAGCCTTTCTGTTTCCTGACCTGAAGAAGCGGATAAACCTCTAGGCCTAACCCTACTCACAAGCACAGACCGGGAACAGCAGACACTCGCTCTCCCTCACGTTAGCAAAAGCATCAAGCAATAGCCATCCTGCTTCCCTGCTCCATTCTGGGCAGGGCACTCATACACAATCCACACTATAAATCTAGGGGAAGAAACTAAATCCCGAAGCTCTCATCCATGCACAGCGCTCAACTGTACAATGTGCTCTGTCACACACAAAGGCAACCAGTGAGGCCAGTGCTAATACAGAAAATGCAATACAAACTGCGTAGGACTGTACATGCTAACCACAGCTCTGAAAACTAGTATCATTTTATTTTAAGATTGGTTTTTATTTTACATGAATGGGTGTTTTGCTTACAAGGACATTATGTATGTAGATGGCCTTCAGAGGCTACAACAGGGGGTCAGATCTCCTAGAACTGAAGCTACAGATAGCTGTGAGCTGCTATCTGGGTGGATAATTGAACCCAGGTCCTCAGGAAGAGCAGCCAGTGCTCTTAACCACTGAGCCATCTCTTCAACCCTGAACACTCATTTTAAAAGTTCAATAATAACTCTTCAGGGGCTAGAAAGACGTTCCATGGTTAAAAGTGTGTACTTCTCTTTCACAGGACCTGAGTTCTGTTGCTAGCACCACTTCAGACAGTTCCTAATGCCCTGGAATTCCAACTCCAGGGGATCCAGTGACTTCCAGCCCCTGGGACACATACTTACACAAATACACATAATTAAAGAAAAAAAGAAATCATTTTCCTCCAACTCCCAAGATGCTAAAGATGACTCTAAACTCCAGGTCCTCCTGCCTGCACCGCCCACATGCTAAGATTACAGGCATGAACCACCTACCTGGCTAAGGCTACTATTTATAGCTAATCTCTTCCCACTAACCAAAGACAGAACCCCAGGACTTCGGGGTTGTTTCTGTTTGTTTTGTGGGAATAGGGTGAGATTTGATATGTTATGGGAAGGAATGTCCAGAAGTAAAGGGTCTGAAAGACAAACCAAATGACACAACTCTCTCCTCCCAAGAACTCAGATTACAGGTGAGCCACCACTTCCGGCAAGACACACTTCTCACCCTATACACCCCCTTCAGGGTGGCCATGTCCACTTGACCCCCGCCTTCAACTGTTGTCACTGTAGAAGCACACCCAATCCACTCGCAAGCACCATCCGTTAAAACTTCAGAGCAGCATATCCAAATCAGGCCATCCTTCTGGGACTCAGAGTTAACTCAGAGCCACCTTCCACTTAGACATCTATACCTGACTGTCCCTAAGGCACCTCAAACTGAAATACAACCCCTCATCTTCCCAGCAATCCCTGTCCACACTGTCTCAGTGATCCTGCACTGCCTGACAGTCACATAACGGCCCAAGCTGTAACCTGGAAACCATCAGCTTCATGAAATATTGTCTGAAATAAACCCATTACAGCCTCTATTTTGTATATCTCAAGAACAGATAGATGTCCCTTGCCTTCATCCTGACTAGGAGAAACCACTGAGGCGTTGCCGTGACTGCTGCCGTGACCTCCTAGCTAGTCTCCCTGGAAGTCAGCACCATGCACTTCACCCATCTCACAGGCACATGTCATTAGGACCTATTTTTTATTTTGTGTAGATGTGTGTGGATGGGGGGGGGGGTGCAGAGGACAATTTTCGGGTGTTGATTCTCTCCTTCTAGGTAGGAGGTTTTGAGGCAGGGTCTCTCAGTGTTTCTTGCAGTTGCATCATGTATGTGATCTTTGGTTGACTCTCTTGCCTCCGCCTCCCACCTTGCTGTAAGAATGCCTAGATTACAAATGTGAGCTCTAGCATCCAGCATCTGGTTTTTTTTCCAATATGGGTTTCAGGAGTCAAACTCAGGCAACAGGTTTGAGCAGTGTGAGCGTTTACTCACGAACTATTGCCCTGGCCCATAAAACTAACATGTTTTTGTTTGATCCCATTTAGCTTTGCCCTCAGCATCAGGCTGAAGTTGAAATGAGCCTTTCCCTAAGCGAGCCTTTCATTCTCACCTGTGCTCACCTGGTTCCATCTCTCACTCCACCTAGCTCAACCACGCTACAGCAACCAGGACTTTCTTGCATTTCCATAAAAAGCCATGTCTTCTTTCATTTATTGGCCTGGTTGCACTTTGCCCTATCTCAGGAACTCTTATTGTCCTTTAAGACTCAGGTAAGATATCACCTACCTAAAAGAGCGTGTCCACGTATGTACTTTCATGATACTGTGGATTTATCTCTGCCACCACACAGAGGTTTAAAACCATTTCTTCTTTATTTATTTATTTGTGTGTGTGTGTGTGTGTCTATTTGGTTTTTCGAGACAGGGTTTCTCTGTAGCTTTTGGAGCCTGTCCTGGAACTAGCTCTTATAGACCAGGCTGGCCTCAAACTCACAGTGATCTGCCTGCCTCTGCCTCCTGAGTACTGGGATTAAAGGCGTGAGCCACCACCGCCTGGCTTTAAAAATATTTTTAAGTGTTTACTTACTTATTACATATATACCGTTCTGCCTGTATGCCAGAAGCAAGCACCAGATCTCATTATGAATGGTTGTGAGTCACCATATGGTTGCTGGGAACTGAACCCAGGACCTCTGGAAGAGCAGTCAGGCTCTTAACCTCTGAGCCATCTCTCCAGTCCCCTAAAGTCATTTCTTTTTTTTTTTTTTTCATATTTATTTATT